AATAGGGACTTCTCTTCTGCTATTTCCACAGTATTAATAAGGTTAAAGAGATGTTCAGAAGAAGCCACCGCACTATGTTAAAACAATCCTATAAGCAATTATATATAAATACACATAGATACAAGTATACATGTGTTTTTTTTTAACTTCAAGGATAGTCAGTTACAATGCATCAATTTTTGGTGTACAGCACAATGTCTCGAGTCATGCATATACATACATATATTTGTTTTCATCTTCTTTTTCATTAAACATTATTATAAGATACTGAATATAATTCCCTGTGCTGTACAGAAGAAACTTTTTTTAAAATCTATTTTTATATATAGTGGCTAACATTTGCAAGTCTCAAACTCCCAAATTTATTCCTTCCCATCCCCTTTCCCCAGTAACCATAAGATTGTTTATGATGTCTGTGAGTCTGTTTCTGTTTTGTAGATGAGTTCATTAGTGTCCTTTTTTTCCTTTTTTTAGATTCCACATATGAGTGATACATGGTATTTTTCTTTCTCTTTCTGGCTTACTTCACTTAGAATGACAATCTCTAGGTCCATCCATGTTGCTGCAAATGGCATTATTTTATTCCTTTTTATAGCTGAGTAGTATTCCATTCTACAAATATACCACAACTTCTTTAGTAATCTGTCAGTGGACATTCAGGTTGCTTCCATGTACACATGTGTTTTTATGTGTAAAAGTTAAGTTTTTATTGTATCAAAATGACTCAAACAAAACAGAATTAGCAAAACACCTAAGGAGAGTTTCAGTAAATATTACAATATTTATATTTTATATCATTAAAGGAGGAGGAGAGTGGTAAAATAAACCAATTAATACAAAGAAACTTTGATACAAACATGGAATTTTCCCAAATGAAGGTGAAACTGCCTCAGATAATCACATGTATTTGCCTACAGAAGCTGTAAAAAAGTTACTTTCATGTTAACATAGTCCCTAATTGCCATAAAAAAGGAGTGGGTTTTTGGTGTCAGGATATCTATCAAATATGTTTAAATTTACAGTGAACCATTTGAAAAGATAGATAGATAGATAAACACTGATTTAATATTTAAGGTGTTTTGAGGATAAAAACAGTTTTAAATATATTTGAATTATTCAGTCACTTAAAGTATTTGTGGACAATTTATACTGTTTTATCATTAAGAATAACAAAATTAGTATAACAATATTTAATCATCTTTCGTAACATTTGTAATTTTGAGTTCTCTCCCTCTAGTTCATCAATTTCATTTTTAATTATAAATCATTTCTTGGCAAATAATACTTCTAGAACTTAAGAGTGTAAAAATAATTTCAAAAGCTGTACCAAATACTTCCATTCCTTGAGGACATACTGCTCAGTGTGCTGAAAAACAAAAATATAATCATTGTTATCCAGAACTGCCCCTTTAAATGACTTTAGTTGTAACCAGTGTAATTAACACATTATGGGAGCATGATTTTGGGGGC